CGTGTCTCTCCGGTTCCCCGGAACCCTAAACCCTGAACATACCGGGGGGAGGAGGCCCAACCCTTAAACCCCGGAAATGCACAACCAAACCCGTTTCAACCGGCAGTAGACCCTCAACCCTACATTTTTCTCGAACTACGAAAGAAGTCCGAAGGAAGCTCCCCGTCCCAAAACCTGAAAGCCTCACGTCCCGATAGCCTCACGCACACCTTCAGCTGAGCCGCAGCCTTTTCGTCGGTGGAGGCTAGAGAGCTCCGAAAGCCCTGCAACTTCTGATCCATTGTTCTCAGAACCCAGCCACCGCATCTGTGATCATGCAAAAGCCGTGTAGTTTTGGGATTCTTTCCGAATTTGCGAGCCAAAAGTGGGCCTTGTGACTTGCGAGGCTGGCAAGTTCGAAAGGCTGGACGATGACGACGCGCTGGCCCCAGCTGGAAGTTAGAAGTACTGTATCCCTGCACCCGAAACGCCAAACCCTAAAGTCCTACAGTTTTAAAGGTGGGGATGGGCAATGCTGGGAGCCGTGAAGTGAAGTGCCAGTGCTGAGGATGCATCACGGCCTTCTTGATCATGCGCGACACTTCATCTTTACTGGCAGTACAGTATTACTATTAGTGTTATTATTGTTGTTGTTTGTTGCTATTAAGTTGTTACTGTGCTTATTGTTATTCTTATCGTTATTGTTATTTTTCAGTGTTGCCAGTTCTGCTTGGGTTTCGGGGTTCAGCTCTGTATATGACTCCGAATAAGCCCAGAAGCAGGAGAGCCTGAGCAAGAGTTTTGAAGAACCCTAAACCCTAAACCCTAAACCCTACCCCCTAAACCCCTAAAGCCCTAAACCCTAAACCCTGAAGGCAAAGCACCGGTTTGCATCCTTGCCTTCGATGTTCAAGGTTTAGGGGACCGCGGCCGTTGCCTGGCGCGTCTCCTAAGGCAGAGTTTAGGGTTTAGGGCTTCGGGGGTCTGCAGAAGCCGAAGTATTTCCATCGGATGCCGCGCAGAGCTCTGCAGAGGCCTTTGGGAGGCCTCGTTGTCGCTTTCCTTGGCCTCAGCTTCTTCGACGAGGCCTTCGTGGCAAAGGTCTTCTTCAACACCTCGGGGCGCCTTGAGAGGGGATCCGTTTCGGATTCCTCGGATTCTCCCGGGTGTCTGGTGCCCGTCTACCGGGGCCTCTGCCTGGTTCGAAAGGCGCCTTCTTCCCAGACTCTGGAGCCGGTGCTTCTCTCAGAGCTCCCCGAGATCCCAGGTTTCGAGGGGCAGCTTCTGGCCTGGTTGGGCCGGCCCAGCTCAGGGCCACTGCTGGAGTTGCAGCAGAGGGCTTTAAGGAAAGACGCAGGGAAGGGATTCTGGTTGCTGGACCTCTCGGCTTCCGCAGAGGCCCCGGAGGGAAGCCTTTTGGGTGCAGAGGGCGAGTGGAGCAAACTGCGCTCTCGCAGTGGCCCGTCAGTGCTGGATGCCTTAGCTGCGGATGACTACGCGGCGCTGCTGTCCACCGCGGTGGGGCTGTCGGAGTGGCACCGATCTGTGCCATTCTGCGCCAAGTGCGGTGGCAGGACGTGTCTTCGGGAGATGCAGGTCCGTATGTACCACGTGAGCACGAGTGTCATAAAGGCTTTTACAGGCTTTGAGACTTCTTCTAAGCGACCTGCTCCTGCGACCTGCACCTCCAAGCACGGCAGATATCCTCACCATCCCCCTGTCCCCTCCCCCCCTCCCCAGCAGCTGCAGTGTGTGGAGTGTTGCCGCCTTCGACAGGCCTTGTCCTTCGCCCCTCCCCCCCCGCCCCCCCCGGCCCCCGAAAAACTCAGCCTCAGCTGCCCTCAAGCTCAAGAAGTGCCGATCCTCACATCAAGATTGGGAGTTCCGGAAGAGCAATGAGGCCTCTTTTTTCCTTGCCCTCCACTGAGGTCCGAATGCACGGCATGCATGCATGCATGCATGCATGCATGGATAGATGGATGTATTTTTATATTGTATTGTATTGCATTGCCTTGTCTAGCTTAAGCTTAAAGTAACGTGAAGTAGTGTATTGCAATGCAATTCGCTGCTTTTTCCCGCAGAAGGACTGCTCCCTTCCGCGCTGGCTCCAATCGACGCTGCGAGGCTTGCATGCAGGGTGCAGTCCAACGGCCTTCAGATTGTGCAAGTTGCCAAGCATTGCTCATAGAGTGACTTTCTCTTTGTCTGTCTTTCTATCTGTCTATCCGTCCCTCCGTCCGTCCGTCCGTCTGTCCGTCCGTCCGTCCGTCCGTCTGTCTGTCTCTTTGTATCTGTATGTAACTTGTATGCATATATGCATTTGAAGTGGTATGTGACTCCATAAATCCTTGCCTATAGTGTCAAAACAGAAGCTACAAAACTGGGGCCTGCAGTGCGATGCTTTAACCAATATACTATGCAGATATGTATAGATGTGTCTGTGTGCAGATGTGTACATGTATTTATGTGTATATGCATACATGTACAAAGCTACAGCACACAGCAAATTCCGTGTACATGTAAAGATGTATACAGGTAAGTATATTATATATATATATACATATGTACATATCTATATATGCATATGTGCGTATAGAGGCATGCATGCATACATACATACATACATACATAAATGCACACATACGGAGACAGACAGACAGACGGACAGACAGACAGACAGACGGACAGACAGACAGACAGACAGACAGACAGACACACAGAGACAGAGAGACAGAGAGACAGAGAGACAGAGAGACAGAGAGACAGAGAGACAGAGAGACAGAGAGACAGAGAGACAGACGGACGGACGGACAGACGGACAGACAGACAGACAGAGACAGAGAGACGGAGAGACAGAGAGACAGAGAGACAGGGAGACAGAGAGACAGAGACAGAGAGACAGAGAGACAGAAAGACAGAGAGACAGAGAGACAGAAAGACAGAGACAGAGACAGAGAGACAGAGAGACGGAAAGACAGAGAGACAGAGGCAGAGAGACAGCGAGACCGGGAGAAGGAGAGACGGAGAGCTGGCAAGACGGGGAGACGGAGAGAAGGGGAGACAGAGAGACAAAGAGAAACCGAAACAGCATACTGCCACTGGACCCGCAGTGAGCACGAAGATGATAAGGAAAAACAATCAGATTTTGGCGAACAAAAAGATCACGCCAAGCACGAAACCAGGAACCTAGAGGCTTAGAGATGGCCTAGAGGAAGCATAGCACACTGAAGCGGGCACGGAATGAAGCTCTACACAACCTCCGTGAGCCACTTCACAAACATAGCGAAGGCAGCGAAGGATACACAAGCATCACAGCTTTATACGGAAATATCCATAAAGAAACAACATCCAACATGCATAGCAAACTAATTTATTGTTAAAAACACTCCAGCAGCACACAAACGAACTAGTACTGCAACGAAGTGTGCGACAATTATGATGTTGCACGTGCCGGGCAAATTCCACAAAATGTCCGCCAGCTTTAGAACTTTAGATGACATCGGAATGGCCATGCCTCTTCACGACTGGAACTGATGGACGGGCGATGCTGAGAGAGGGGGGGGGATTTTGACGCATGTGAGGCCTCATGTGATGTTGCTGCTTCAAATGAAGATGATAATGTCTTGTGGGCTAAACCCTAAAACCCGGCCCCTAAACCATGAGGCCTGAGTGCAGCATAAACTGTTCAGAAGGTGATAGAATTGCCACGATTATAACAGCTTCCTTCGGCAGTGAAACAATGCCGTGTCTTTCTTTGGTTCTGTTAAGTCTGCAAGGCATGGACCTCGTGATGACGTGGGATGCAACAGCAAACCTACAGCGCTGTGCCTGATGCAAGAGCGAATCAAAAGCGCCGCCACTCCTGTATGCCGCATGGTAACGCGCGATTCAACGGCGAATCAACAACGCCGGTTGTGCTTAAGCTGCCACGGTTGTACTGATGCTTGTACCGCGCAATGGGAATCAACAGCGTCGCCCACAACAATGCCGCCCTTGCATGAGCGCTTGCGCTTGTAATGACGCCTGGACCATATGATGCCACTGAGAGCGCCGCCCTCGCGTAAGCGCCCACCGCCTACGCTTGATGGAATCCAACAATCAATCGAGTTTCCCCTGCTTAAGCACCGGCGAAGCAACAGCGCCGCCCCTGCTTCAGCCCTGACGCTTGCACAGATGCTTGACCCGCATGATGGGAATCAATAGCACCGCCCCAGCCCATTGTTATGCACCGAACTGATTTATGGATAACTTGATAACCGTGAAGGAACTGCGAATCAACAGCGCTGCCTACGCTTAAGCGCCGACTCTTGTACATTGATGATTGGACGGCGTGATGGGTTTCAACAATGTTGCCCCTGCTTAAGCACCGGCGCTTGAATTAACGTTAGGAGAGCAAGAGAACGTACGATGCTACAATGAATCAAAGGTGCCACCGCTGCTTACTTGCCGCTGCTTCAGCTGCGCCTGTTTTGATGCTTGAACCGCATGATGACGTGTCATGCAACAGCGACTCAGCAGCAACTCAACAGCGCCGCTTGTGCTCAAGCGCCCGAAAATGTACTGATGTTTGGACCGCGTGATGGGAAACAACAGCGCTGCTGCTGCTGCTCAAGCAAGCCCGGTGAGGCATCAGCGTGACAACAAATCAACAGCTCCGCTTGCGCTTGAGTGCCAACGCACCCACCCTCAGGACCAACAGAGCATCCCCGGCTACTGTGGCCCGCACGATCTCTACGTGATTGGCAGTGATTTCAGTGAGCCTCATTCCTTGAAAGGCAAGTTGTCTGTCTTGCTCCTGACTCAGGCTGCCCGGGTGCTGACCCTAAACCCTAAACTCTATAAGGCTCCGGAGTGACAAGGGCTAGTCCGAAAGTCCGACGCAGGAGAAGCCGGAAAAGCAAAGCATTAGCAAACTGCATTTCCCTAGTCATCCCTCTACCATCCTCTACCCCTGCCACGAGTTGCTGGAGGTTGTGTCTAGCGGCTGCCCCCCCCCTCCACACCCCAGCATACAAACAGTGTTAGTGATTTTGAGTGCAGCCCTCCAGGCCCTCAGCATAATCCTTCGAGTCTGGTTGCTGCAGGGCCGAGTCGATGCCCGCAGTCCTTGGCTGTCCTTGGCGGTGGCAGGAGCATAGGCCTTGGGCCTCAGGATCTCTGCATTTTGTTTTGCTTTGTTGGGGGGGTCCCAGCCTCGAGCTTTCCAGCTGCGCACATGCGACTCGAAGATTGCGGCGCACCTGGTCCACTAACGGATGCCCGGGCCCAAGCGAGCGCTGGAAGATCTCCAACGACCGCTCCAGCAGCTCCTTCGCCCGCTGGTAGTCGCCCAAGACTCCATAGGCACTCCCCAGGTTGCTGAGCAGCGTCGCCACCTCTGGGTGGTCTGCAACGTGGTGTTGCTCCTCGATCCTGAGGCATCGCTCCAGCAGCTCCTTCTGCCGCTGGTAGTCGCCCAACTCCCCATAGGCAGTTCCCAGGTTGTTGAGGGTCATCGCCACCTTGGGGTGGTCTGGTCCGTAGTGTTTCTCCTCGATCTTGAGGCCTTGTTCCAGCAGCTCCTTCCGCCGCTGGTAGTCGCCCAGCTTTCCATAGGCATTCCCCAGGTTGTTGAGCATCGACGCCACCTCCGGGTGGTCTGCACCGTAGTGTTGCTCGTTGATCTTGAGGCCTTGTTCCAGAAGCTCCTTCTGCCGCTGGTAGTCGCCCAAGTCTCCATAGGCAGTCCCCAGGTTGCCGAGGGTCTTCGCCACCTGAGGGTGGTCTGCACCGTAGTGTTGCTCCTTGATCTTAAGGCATCGCTCCAGCAGCTCCTTCTGCCGCTGGTAGTCGCCCAAGTCTCCATAGGTATTTCCCAGGTTGTTGAGGGTCATCGCCACATCGGGGTGGTCTGGTCCGTAGTGTTTCTCCTCGATCTTGAGGCCTTGTTCCAGCAGCTCCTTCCGCCGCTGGTAGTCGCCCAGCTTTCCATAGGCATTCCCCAGGTTGTTGAGGATCTTCGCCACCTGAGGGTGGTCTGCACCGTAATGTTGCTCCTTGATCTTAAGGCATCGCTCCAGCGACTCCTTCTGCCGCTGGTAGTCGCCCAAGTCTCCATAGGCAGTCCCCAGGTTGCCGAGGGTCTTCGCCACCTGAGGGTGGTCTGCACCGTAGTGTTGCTCCTCGATCCTGAGGCATTGTTCCAGAAGCTCCTTCTTCCGCTGGTAGTCGCCCAACTCCACATAGGCAGTTCCCAGGTCGTTGAGGGTCATCGCCACCTCCGGGTGGTCTGGTCCGTAGTGTTGCTGATCGATCTTGAGGCCTTGTTCCAGCAGCTCCTTCCGCCGCTGGTAGTCGCCCAGCTTTCCATAGGCATTCCCCAGGTTGTTGAGCATCGACGCCACCTCCGGGTGGTCTGCACCGTAGTGTTGCTCGTTGATCTTGAGGCCTTGTTCCAGAAGCTCCTTCTTCCGCTGGAAGTCGCCCAAGTCTCCATAGGCATTCCCCAGGTTGTTGAGGGTCATCGCCACATCGGGGTGGTCTGGTCCGTAGTGTTTCTCCTCGATCTTGAGGCCTTGTTCCAGCAGCTCCTTCCGCCGCTGGTAGTCGCCCAGCTTTCCATAGGCATTCCCCAGGTTGTTGAGGATCTTCGCCACCTCGGGGTGGTCTGCACCGTAGTGTTGCTGGTTGATCTTGAGGCCTTGTTCCAGAAGCTCCGTCTGCCGCTGGTAGTCGCCCAACTCTCCATAGGCATTCCCCAGGTTGTTGAGGGTCATCGCTACCCAAAGGTGGTCTGCACGGTAGTGACGCTCCTCAATCTCCAGCAGCCTGGTCCCCATGCCCACAGCCCGCTCATCGTGGCCTGTTTGCATCAAGCACACCATGAGGCGATTCGCAGCATTAAGTGCTGGATCGCTCTCTTCGCCAAGGCTTTCGGTTGCCAGGGCATAGGACATCTCCCGCAGGGGCAGCTCACACCAGGCCTGGTGCTCTTGAGCCTCCACAAAGTCTGCAGCCTTGCCCACCTGGTGCAAGGCGTGCAAGAGATCCGCCATGGCCTTCACCTCCTCATCGCTGGCCATGTTCTCGGCCACCTGGTTCAGCTGTGCGCGATCATCGCTCGTGCCCCCAAAGGCTTGCTTGCAGAGTGCCGGCCTCGCCATCAACTCCTGCCAGCGCAAGATCTGCGGCCCATCCGCGCCATGGACGAAGACGTGCACGAGCTCGGGCTTGCGCACGTAGCCAAACTCCCAGCGGCATGCCTTGGACCTCAGGAACCGGGCAACGGTACCAGTCACTGAGTCGCTCAGTAACTTGACATGTCTTGCGAAGCAACAGCAAACCCGTTATTCCCTGGGCGAGTCCAATACGTAAGGGCAGCGTGGCGACTAGAAGTCTAGGACATCGCTCTTGAACCTTCTCAAGCAAAACGCATTTTCCGGAGGTCTCGCTGAAAGGTTTTGGCTCCCACTTGGCAACGTCCGCTACTTAAGTATTTTCAGTGACTGCAGTTGCCACAACCCTGATCCATGAGCAGGAAACCTACAACAACTGGACCTGCTCGCACTCTTCAATGTCAGGCTCGGAGGTTCTGGATACTCACCCCCCTCATGCAGCGTCACTGGTTCATCTTGGTTGGGAGTATTGCTTTCGTGCAAAGCATCGAAGAGGCCAGGGATTAGCATGTTAATCACAACACAACATGGCTAACAACGTAAAAATTGAAACCCGCAGCTTGAAGTAGTCGTTCGTCAGCTGAAGGATGAGGATGCCGTGCTTGGTTTCTTCGGCCGCCCGCTTGTAGTGGAGGAACCACCGTGGATACTCTCCGGGTTTCCGCACTTGGTCGAGGTCGCTGAATTGCTGATCCCAGCGCCCTGCATTCTGCCCCTCCACCACATGCACGCCCATGCCCAGCGAGCGGTCGTGGCAAAAGCTCACGCTGCCTATGGCAGCCAGGGCGGCCAAAAACATCCCCAAACTAATCGTCGTATCATCATCCATGCTCATGAAGACCAGGCCCACATCTACACGGACAAATCTATGGCCAGAATAGAAACTAATCACGGAGACTTGGCTAGCCAAGCAGCGGAACTGACCTTGAAATTGCACTCCTTGTGTAAGACGGTGCAGGATCTTGTTGTTCCCGCTGCTGTCGGGGCTGGCGAAGGAGATGAGGAAGTCCGCCTCCGAGGCCTTCTTCTTGCCTTCTGCTTCCTCACGGGCCTTGAAGCCGATCGGCTTCCACTTGCGCATCAGCTGCAGCGCCTCGTGAGCTGCTGTGTCATGCATCGTCAGACCATCTGCCATGGCAAAGTCCGCTTCGGCGTCCCGCCCCAGGATCTGCAAGGAGATGCCCCGGTTGTTGTATGCGGCTGCGAGTTCCGGGTCCAGCTCGATGGCCCGAGAGAAGTCTGCCAGGGCATCTTCATGCCGCCCCTCCGCCAACTTGGACCATCCGTTCCTGCTCAAAACCTCCGCATCTGCCTGCGCAGAGTGCCCACATGTACCCAGAGTCCGACAGCAGCATCTCCCCTATATTCCTCGTGCTTTAGACACTGCAGCAAACGCCTATGCGCGAGATGTCGTTTGGACGTCCCATGATTCCTTGGCCTGACGCTGCCCATTTCGCTCCGCGGCTTCCTGGGCCTCTGCGGGTTCCTGCGCTGCGCACTTGCAGACTTCAGCAGAAAGGCCGAACTGTCACAGTGCCCCGGCTACTTGTTGGGGCCAGTAACGCCCGCGCGCTGACTCCCGAGATGAATTCCCCAAGATCCGAGCATTTTCCAATGCAGGTGAGGTACAGTGTCATTTACAAGTGTTGTTAGTTGCCAGAATTAGAAGTACAGATCCAGAATCTACGCCCCAACGACGTAAGTGACGGCAGAAGTGTTACGATGAAGAGAGACAAGACTGGACGCCCCCGGGGGCGGTGGCACACCCATCAGATTTCTAAGCAAACGGTGACCATGAAGGAAGACATGACTGGACGTTCCTAGGAGCGGTGTCATGCGACCCCTTTTTCGAACAAATGAAATGTCCTACCGTAAACTGTTTGCGGAAACATGTCATCATGAAGGGAGACAAGATTGGACGCCTCCGTGAGCAGTGGGTCATGTTTCGTTTTCGACCAAACGCGGATTTTGGATTTGCACTGTCCTGCTCTTCGTTTCCTTCGTCTCATGTCCGCCATTTCCATCTCATTTTGCGTTTTCGACCAAACGCGGATTTTGGATTCACGCTGTCCTGCTCTTCGTTTCCTTCATTTCCGTCTCATTTCCGCGTCATTTTCCGGTTTCGACAGAACGCAATTTTTTGTAAAAAGTGCCTTGTAAGAGACTGAAACCCAACAGCATGTTCTGTTGGGAATAATTTCTTTTGTCGTCGATGGCGAAGGACCATCCTTCCTGTGTCATTCGAGTTTCCCCAAGTGATGGTGAGCCCCAACATTGGCCATTGAGGCCCCTGTCAATGTTGGTGCTGCGCAGGGTGTTGCCTTAGGTTTAGGGCTATGTGCAAAGCTGTAAGGAGGATGCGGGAGACCAGCAGCGAGGGGCCAGGAACAAGAGGGCTTCCCCCGAACCACTGTCCCCCTAATCGACTCCCTGAAATCGGCGCCGCAGGTACGCGGAACAGCACGACAGGTGCCCAGCACTCTCGCCCCGGGCTTGCCTGCGAAAGTCTTCTGCTCAGCAGGGCCCGGGCACGAAGCTACTTGGCATCAGAAAGCCCCAGAAACCAGGACAGCCACCACCGCAAGAAGAACCACTACCCAACTACCGCCAGTGTCAGGGGTAGGGACGAGCAATGCATCGCTAGCCAGCTTCCATGGGCATGCAGCTTTCCAAGGGGGGCGGGGGAAAGAGGGGTCCCTACCGCCACCTCCCCACCTCCCATGTCTTGTGAACTACACTCGAGCTGCCAAACAGCCATGGACATGCTGCGCAAGCCGGGGGTGGGTTCCGACTCGAGCCAAAATATTACCTCTTCTCTCTGTTTCTCTCTCTCAGTACAGCTACCTGCGACACGAGAGAGCATGGAAAGGCGCGAGCCAATTTGTGACGAGAGGCGCTACATGCTGCATAAGCCCCTCCTTTCCTCCTCTCCTTCATTCTCCCTGGCGTCCTTCCCTATCGAAGTCGGTCTCACGCTGGGCCGTGGGACTTCCTGTACATGCACTGGACACCTACACTACACCAAACCTGGTGGACAGTGTTGTTTCCTACCGAGGCAGTGCTCCGGCAAAAATGAAAAAGAGGCTGGTTTGTGCGCAGCATGCTTCTTTGCAGCAGGAGAAGCTAAAGGACGGCCTGCACAGGTCCATGGTGTTTCGCTCGATCAGCTCGATTCTGCCCCTGTGTCGCGTGGCTACATGCCCGCATCTGACAGGGATGCCCCAAGCTTTGAAAAAAAAACAACCTCTGAACAAAAATATAACATCTTGCATGACGCGGTCCCTTGCCTCCACCTCAGCAAGAGCTGCCCGAATCTGTTGGAGCTCCTCCTGGGCAATATTCTCGTGCAAGTGGCTTCTGTGGGCACCAAGTGGAAGAGAAGTCACGAAGCCCTCAGCATCAGCCCGACCCCACAGGGAGAATCCCTCAAGCTCTACCTGGCTGAGGTTGGAGGCAGCAGCACGGACCTCAGTTCTCAAAAGGCTGCCCAACGTCGTCCAACTGCGCTAGGCCGCTACGAGGCTTCAAGAACTGACTCCATGCCCCGGGCCTCGGCAGGGTTTGCTGAACCAAGCTTGTTCGGCAGCGAGCTGCCGCTTCCCATGTATTCTGGAGGCTTCTTTGCTGGCTTCAAATAACGAGTATCTCGTGAGTCACAAGTGGGAAAGATACATCACCTACGCTGGCCATCCCAGAGGCCTGTGTCACAGCCTGTTTTACCATGTTTTCATGAGACTCCAGCTACTTGGGCAAGAGTTTGCCACGCTGCGTGAGGCAATTCCAAACATATGTGTGAATCCACTGACCTGGTATGCCGGTATGCCCTCGGACTGAGCTGGCTGCGGGGTTACCAATTACACATGTTGTGGTTTTCGCTTCTAGGGCTTAGGGTTTAATTTCCGAGGTAAAACACATGCATTCATTCTTTCGAAACTCCCTAAACCCTAGCTATGCCTAGCTAGAATCCATCTAGCACGTGCGGGTCAGTTGTTTCGTGTTTTTGGTCATGCCACCTCGTGTACCTTGCGGGCGCTTCCTCATCGCAGACGCCTGGGCACTTCCCCATATGCTTGCGCGCACGTTCTCATGCCCATGTGTTTCTCGTCGAACTCGAGAGGTAATATGTGGGGTGGTGATCCATTTCTGGACCCTCCTGCGCCCTCCTCATTCCTGTTCGCAGGTACATTGTTGTTGGGGAGGCCGCACTATAAGACTTGCTCGCAACTGTATGTTGGAAACTTTCCGTGGTGATTCTCGCGGCTGGCCAGCTGTGGTTGACCATCTACCCGCAGCTTGTAAAGTTTTACTCCAAGCCCTAAACCTTAAACCCTATGCTTAAGACCCTACGTTCTGTCAGGATCCAGAGCTGGGTCCAGGTCTTTCGGGTCGTGTTTCTGGATGGGCCTGTTGCCTTCCACTTTTCGCCGCCAGGTCCCAAACCTTGAACTCGACGTGATGAAGATGAATCGAGCCTGACATGGATCAATGGCATGGAAAAGCTGGCTTCAAGAGGGTTTCTTGAGCCCAGCTTCTCGTCCAAAATGCCCACCTTCCCAGTTTCAACAAGCTACTGTCGAGCGATTTGGTATCGTTTTCCAAGGGGAACACATGTGCACCAACGACTTTCGAGGCTCCTTGGTCCGGAGCTGTCAAACTCGAAGTTGAGCAATGAACAATTGCTTTCTGGAGGATACGGAGGTCGAAAGCTAAGAAAGCATTGCTTCAGGCTCGAATGGCGGGGCAACAGGGAGCTGAAGAGCTAAAGCCCTGGCACTGCGAAGGCGGCAGCCTGCATACCGATCCAAGACAAGCCACCTTGAAACCGACCTGCTCTCTGGAAACTGCCTGCCTGCCACACCGTGTGACATGCCTTTCAGCGCTCTTGACTCACAAAGGTAGTGCTCTCCTAGCAGAGCGCAGTCCAAACATGCTTGCGAGGTCCTTCGAGGTTAGCGGAGCAAAGATATAGCAGCGAAGCCGCACCTACTGCCTTACTGCCCTTTGCAGGAGCGCCTATCTGTCCCAGCACGAGGACTGCTCAAGGTACAATGGATGCCAACATGCCCTAGCATGTGCATCCAGCGACCTCGTGGTGAAGCGTTTTGTTTATACGTCGCTCTAAATTAACAGCGCAGATACAAGCAATGCCAATAACTTGCTTTCCAGTGCAATTTTTCCGAAGTGGAACGAACTTTGCAGTGAGCAGGGAGCTCTGCTGCCTGGGGTAGAGCATGTCAGCTGCTTAAGCTTATGCAGCTTTCAGCGCGGTCATAAGCGTCCTCTGTACACACTAATAACAGCCACGGCGCAGTCCTCCAATGCTGCTCAAGACGGTGTCTGAAGCTGCCAGCATCTGCCATTCACCTGGTCTGAGCCGGCGAATAGCTACCACACGTGTCCTTGCATTGCCCATCCAATTATTTCTGCAAGGCCAGTCGTTTACTGCCAAGCCACGGATTCTGAAGCCCGAGCTTTGCCAGTCCATGAAGCGCAAGCGCGTCTGAAGGCTGGCAGGTGGTGCACGTTTCCAATTCATAAGATGGCGTGCGAGCGCCTTGGCGAGCAAGATCAAAGGAAGGAGCTGAGCGGCAAATGTTGGCACTGGCACCAGAAAAGCAGGAAGTGGGGGAGCAACAACACCTTAAGAGAGTTCCAAACCAACACCGGCCCACCGCAGCCTCACACAGGAAGCAAAGAAAGTCGCAACTGCCGGAAATTGTGGATTTATGCTTGGGCAAAACAGCGGAGTTGCATTACAGCCAGGCGGCAGACCCAGCATGAGCAGTCAATAGCATTCACAACTTGCGAATGATATCGAATGATCAAGAAGGCTGCTTCTCAGCAGCAAAGACCCAGCTGTGACAAATCACAGTCGGGTCCTTCATGTCCATTGATTCACCTTCTCGTAAGTCTTCACATTCGCATTCCTGCTGCATTAGAGCCCACAGAGCGAAATGTGCTCAGCACGCGCCGCTGTTTGACAGTGCCTGAAACGTCGAGAGACGATGCAGCCTCATGTGGTTCGCTGGCATCCTCATAGCGGAGTTATCCGCGCCTCCACTGTTGCCGAAGTGCTCGAAGGTCCCTCTGATATCCGATTGTCAGCCACATCTCTTGCAAAGCCGGATCGATGTGTTCGAAAGCAAGCTTGAAGATGGCCGAGAACGTCTCCTTGACTTGGCCAACTTCAACCCCTCAGCGCTGGGACAAACCGCTCCTATTATGGTTTCGATACGAGACATTTAGACAGCCAGCTTTGGAAATAGAAAGGACGTCTAGCAGGCACCGCATGCACTGCTACAGCCGGGGCAGGATGCAATGTGAGCCCCTCCAGAGACATGGAGAACCAGAGCTCCGCAGGGCGTGTCTTAAATCTTGTTGAGTATAAGGGGTGCACTGTGCGAGGGGAGGGGAGTTTCCGAAGACCGCATGCTTGCTGCCCTGAGCTGTGGCCCTGTACATCCAGGCCTCCCAGCAGGGTCGTGTGAATATGTTGGTGCTCTGTAAGGATAAGAGCCTGCTGCCGGCAAAGACGGTCCTCGTCTTCGACTTTTCTCGTCATGATTGTAGAAGCGGCGAGGGTAGGATAATTTTTGTAGCAGGGGGGCGAGGCCCAAGATCCAAGGTTAAACGAGGTGAGGGGTTCCTAGCTCCAAAGAGTACAAAGCACGATGAGGATGGCCTTGCTCAGCACTGCGACGCTGCAGCTCCATATGGCGCTGGGTTATCAGACTTGCAGTAAGGTTGTATGCAGCTTGCTTTGGGCTCAAAAGACCACAAGATGTGTCTTCAACTCTACCAGGCAGATGCCACCTGCACCCTGCAGCAAGGTCGCTGAGCTGGATCTTGCTGCCTGCATGAGGACCATGTGCCTGCGCTCTTCTCTGGCGGCCGGCGGTCATAAACCTAAGCTCCTTCCAGCATCGGGTTCGTGCGCGGAGGCGCTTAGGGCACTGCGCACTAGCTCCGAGCTCTGCGATTTTCAACTTGGCCGAAGCTCTTTTCGCTCTGCCTCGAAAAGCGCTTTAGCATTGTAGGCGACTATGACAACCGAAAATGACACCAGCGCAGCGCGTAGGATCTCATTGGAAGCCTTTCCGGTGGAGCCTCTCTCGGCCATTTTAGCGGCTTTCTGTAGCTAGCACAATCAGAAAATTATGGTGCGGAGCGCTGTGCGCTTTCATGGCCAGCAGTGCTTCTGCCGCCTTGTGGCGGCGAAGCTACATTGTAGCTGCTGCCCCTCCCTACCGGCAGGACCCCTCTCAAGCAGAGGAGTGGAAAATGCCGGCAGACTGCTGCTAGGTGGCATCTACGACGCTAGGATGTGCTACATGAGGAGAACAAGATTGGATTGCGCTTGTTCTTTGCGATTTGAGGTCGAAGCTACATTCGCGTTGAAGCGAAATGAGGCTGGGATGGGCTTCAGCATTGTAGCCGAGTTTAACAACCGAAAATGACACCAGCGGGGAGTGTAGGGTCTAGTGGGAATCCGTTCTGGTGGTCTCCGAATAAGCCAGCCTCTCTCGGCCATCTCAACTGCAAAAAGTGGCCAAATTCTGGGGCGCATCTGGAGCGCTCTGCGTTGGCCAGCACGCAGCAGTGCTTCTGCCGCCTTTTGGCGGTGAAGCTACGCAGCTACACTGTAGCTACTGCACCGGGCCCGCAAGCCATCACACGGCAGCATGCCTTATGGCAAAACACATCTGCGGCCCTACCGCCAGACCCCTCTCAAGCGGAGCACGCAGGGAAGCAAGACACCACAACAGAAATGCCCAGTAAGCTCGGAACGATTGCGCGGGCTGCGGCCCGGGAAGGTGCAGCTCACTTCCCTGCCTTGCCTTGCTCATCCTGCAGCAAGGGTGTACTTCCATGTACTTCACAAGGAAGGAGAGTGAAGGGTGCAGCGCCGCAAGAATCAAAGCTTAAATTTGAATAGCTCTGCTTGCTGCGGGTGAGCCATGGGCCCTAGCGTGCGCCCCTCATCCAGAGTCCCCACGTATCCTTTTATTGCAGGGGACGACAAATCGAAATAACTGGACGAAGGGAGGATCATGGCGATAAGTTCCTTACGGCATTAGAGGTCTTGGACGCACTCTCCTGTTCAATTGCTCTTTTCAGTGCTTGCTGTTGATGCCCTTGTCTCAGCAGCTAATGTCTGCTGATCTCAGCAACGCATGTAACACAGGAGGGTCAAGACAGCAGTAACACAGCTCAACATGATGCCCCCACTCCAGGCAAAGCATTCCGACTAGCAAGCCCAACGTTGCGGCCACGGGGTCATAACCGAGATTGCGAGCACGGGTAGCTGCCACGGCTTCGATTGCGAAACTACATGAGCCCGAGCCTGTAGGGACAGTCGGATGGCTTCCTTCAAATCGTCATCATCATCCAAGCCCTTGCATGGAGCTGCTTGCTTTGCTAGTCTACCCTTTGTTAGTCTCCTGCGGTGTGTAGCTGGCACATGGCCTCGTCCAAATCAGCGGTGGAGCTTTCGATCACTGTGCGGACACACTTACTAGATCTTACTAGGCCCTTTACAGCTTCAAGCTCCTGCACACAAACACGAAGCAGAGTCTGTAGGAATTCTGATACAGCAGCATTCCTCGCCAATAGACACACCTACCTCTCTGAGTCCCCGGAGTCCCTGGCCATTGCCGATGCGATCTAGAAACGTGGGTGCCGCACCTTATCCTCGGCAGCCGCAACTTTGGCTGGGGAGCATGGGCTGCCATCCTGGGGAGAAGTATGGCACCACAACAGCGACGCAAACCCCCAGCAGCTACCAGTAACTCGGAAGAAACCGCACAAGCAGTCGGAACGCTCCTGCTCCTCTGCCTTCTTCTGCTCATCTCTCACTGCTGGCACCGCTGGATTGCTCGGGCTCGTCTGCCCGGCTCTTCGTGGATCAACCATGCGGCTCACGGCAGCTGCTGTGCTCGCATCTTGCGCGCTATCCATGATCCTGACGCGTTGTCCAATGCTGCTCAAGCTCGCGGCGCACCGGAACATACCGTCGCCGCCCACCGCAAACGAGACGAGGACGGTTGGCCCGTGCCATATCGTCACATTAGAGCCTGGCTCTATCTGAATCCGGATCGTGTCTCCACTTGCGATGCCTTGGACTTCCCTCCTCGACTGGCCAGCGTGCACAATGTGTCCTGCATGAGGACCTGCTGACACTATACCAATTGAGTTTGCCAGCTGCGGATGGCCCACGGGCAAACACCCGAAGCCGACTGGCTCATCGCTCACGACGCCCACATAGATTGGCTCCTCGCCCTCACCACCAGCATCCACGACCTGCAAGACAAAGTCGCAGGCATCCTCACGGGTGAGAACCTGATGGGTGAAAATAGTGCCCATCTGAGGAAATACACAGGTCGCTTCTTTGGCTTGCGCATCGCAAGCCACGCTCCTCAATGCATCCAGCCACGTGAAGCCCTTCCCTGTGGAGAACGGCTCTCTCGGCAACTGGCTGATAGCCTCCGCAGCGGCTGCCTGTGCGGCAGGCAACATGGTATGTCCGCAGGTGTGCATTGTCCGCAAGCCAAATGAGAAACCGGTTAGCAGTGCAGCACAACGTTGCCATATGGCACTTCCCTACTTCTTCTTGCACACAGCAGACAGGCAGGCAGGCAGGCAGGCAGGCAGGCAGGCAGGCAGGCAGGCAGGCAAGCCAGCTACCCAGCCACCCAGCCAGCCAGCCAGGCAGACACACAGAGACAGACACACAGA